CTGAACACTGGTAAGGTGGTCGCAAGTTTGCTCCTCACCAAGAGGCTACTGGCATGGAATTTTCTTCACGTGTCTAACATCTAAATAGGGAAAGTTCTTGGCAAACTGCCCAGATGCTGTGATGCCTAATCCCATCAATCCAATCCAGATGTAACAGCCACATAACATTTTTGTCTTCTGGCACCTCTTGGAGTTTTGTTGAAATCTGCTCAACAATTGCATCTCCATGATCTTCGTTTAAATGTAATGTTAGATACTGTAGTATCATTAATACATGTAAACTCTTTATAATTTTTTTAAGTATTACAGTTCAAAAATATTTACACTATCGACTGTATTTGGCATCCCCAAGTCTGAACTCCTGGGAAGCATTTCCACCTTCGTAGATCGTCCATTTGTTGCGTTGTCGTATCACATCCAACCAATCAAGCTAAAAGCCACAATAAACAAAGCAGTTACGAATGATCATAATCAGGGCCGTGCCGTGCTATGATGCAGAGATGCGGCCGCATCAGGCGGCACCATGAGGGGGCGGCATAAAAAACATTTAAGGGGTAGAATTTCAAAGACTTGCATCATACTTAGAAAATCTACTGCACGGCCCTGATCATAATGATTATTTTTCTACTACTTGTACTACTTGTAAGAGATTAAAGCTTGCACAGACTTGTTGAAGATGATGTCAGGTTTTCTTCAATACACCAAGATTATAGTTTATCAATTGTCCGCAGTATAATGTCTTCAAATATTTTATAATTCCCATATCCTTTGGCTGCAACAAGAATATTGTGTTGGAGGTTGAAATTCTAGAAGAATATTTTTCAAACAGTCTAAATAAGTGTGCGCTACGCAGTAACGAAGAAGCAACAGAATTTTCCTTGATACAGTTGTAGTTCCATGTCTCAACTCATTAATTATTAACCATTCCTCAAAAATTTCAGAAATCATCCATACATTGTTAACATAACACAGAGCTGGTAAACTGTATATTTTAATTCCCTTAATTAACGAAGGTCCCAATAACTAAAGGCTACATCACTTTCTGGAATATTTAAATAGCTTGGCACAGTAATGGGACCCATTGCTTATTTTAAACATAATAGTACTGCATGTTTGCAATTAAAGAAACCGTCCAGTGTGGTATGATCAAACAGGCCTGTTTCATCAGCATTGTAATAATAGACAGTATTTGTATAGTATTTTTTGTAGTTTGCGAATTTTCATTGTTTAGCACTTAAAATATCAGCAGTTTAATTAAAGAACTTGTCCTTGTAGATAAGTACTCTCTTTAATTAAATGTATGCTTAGATTTCTGTCTAGATAACCAACTATCTGTTGCTATGAAATCCGTTGTGATCCAGCATTTTAGCTAATTCTTGTGACGCTTACATTGAATTTTAAGGTATAATCCGTATTTCTATTTAATAAGATACAGTACGTATAAAATAATTTTCATCTTTGAGTTAGAAATATAGAAATTATAGCGATTTTTAAATACCTAGTTACTTTTCATCTATCCTGTAGTTAATCTCTGCTAACAGACGATGACTGGTGTTAAACGGTTGGCTTTTGATTTGTTCAAATAAAGCAATTTTATTTATTAGTGACAAATCTTTCCCGGACATTTTGTTGTTAAGACAGATTTATTCTCTTATTTTTAAAGCATTACACTCAAATCAAGTGCATGCATCACCTTTGGAAACCGATATTTCCAATATTTACCGGTGGATCTTTTGATTGATTCACGTTTCTTTGTTGTTTGTGCCTAAATATAGGGACGTGGTAGTCGACGAACTAGCATTGAACCGTGTGGATGAATTGAGCGTAATTAGTTTCTACGAACAAAAAGTTGCCGCATCGAATACATTTCTTCGCTTGAAACGAGTCGGCCCAAACACCACACCATCTATAATGATCACAAACAAAATGCAGTGTGTAAATATGCACGTGTTCGTTAGTACGTCACAAAGCGCACCATAATCAAGCAGACATTGTCCCGATTAAATTGATGTCCTAAATAAGTCAAACAAGTTCTGGTTATTTTCTTGACTTGTTTTTGTCTCTTTAAGATTTGTCCCAAATAAACGAATGCACCGATTAATCGATGGTCTCATTAAACATAATCTACTGTACTTCAATTGAAACAGTTTGAAAAAAATAATGAGTATTGAGTTCCTGAATAATTCGCAAACATCAAAATGAAAATATTAATAAATAAGGATTTCAAAGAAAGCTTCTTGAATTGAATTGCTTTTACTCAAGAGTTACAAAACATTTCTCTTTAACTGATGCTTGAGATAACATTTCGTAAATAGACTTTTATTGCTCGAGTAGTAAAATACGAACATTATTTAGAATTAAGTAGACATTGCCAACATACGTTTTCATCTGGTAAACAACTCTAAAGAACTTTTTATCGCTATAAATGAACACAATTCATTGTACAAGACGATAAAGATAAAATCAAACAATAACTTCTTTACTAATTTATATCTACGTATTTTTAACGTAAGCGATATTGCATTAGATATGACTTTTGATTTCTGAAAATATCATTCATAATTTTATAGAATTTTTCAAATATTTAAAATGAAAAAATAGAGTGAGATTTTTAAAAAATACATATGAATGTTATTTCGTTAAAAAAAAATTAAGCGTGAATTATTTTTACTACGATATCGCTTGAATATCTAAATTAATACAAAAAAATAATAATTGTTTTTAAAATATTAATACCAGTCGACCCCCCTATAACACTGTTGATTATTCCGTTTTATACGAATTCCATGTTGTACGAGTCACTTAGATTTTACAAATACGTGTGCCGGGCTGTGAACGGCTCACGTATTTGTAAAATCTAAGTGACTCGTACAACATGGAATTCGTATAAAACGGAATAATCAACAGTGTTATGGGGAGTCGACTTGTACAGTAGTTGAAATACAGTGAATCATCATATACTCGTTCGCGTTATCAAAACTTTAAGTCCACAGATTAAAAAGAAAAAAAAATCACAATTTACTTAAATAATAAGATAACAATTTCATAATATTTTATCTTTAAACTTATACTATAAATATCGATATTAGGGGCCATCCATAAATTACGTAACTCAGTTACGGATGGGTGGATATGCAGGTAACCGTTACGAAGCGTTATAAGGGAATGGTAGTGCTTACAAAGACGTTATGTAATAATAGGATCTTCGAATCCACTGGTGTTGTTTGTTATATGTGTAAGAATTAAGCTTCCAGTAGTTTATTTGCTAACGACAGCTTCTCAGATTTGGCTATAACTTTCGTTTCTAATTTGCCAAAAAACGAACAGGAAAGAAAATGTCGCATAGCAAACAGTACTGTTTATATCACTGCTTTGTACTGTACGTTATAAATGTAATTAATATAATAACTTAGCGTCCGGTATCCCGTGTTGTGTATTATTCCTTAGCACAATTAAACTTCGAAATTGAGAATATGAGTTGTTACGTAAGTTTGGAAGTACTGTATGTGCGACAGCGTTACGGAGCATTGAAAGGGGTGGGATGGAAAATGAAGAGTATAACATTGTGTTACGTAATGTATGAACAATCCTTTACCTAAACAAAATTGAATTATAAAATTTTGTATATTTAAATCATTAAAAAACAGCAAAGTAATATTGCTTATAAATTTACGTTATGCATTCAAATTTCATTCTTTTCTAACTTAGTTTTTAAACGTGACATAGCGGAAATATATAAAACAGTTTCATCGTTAATAATTCACGATTATTATAAGATATCAGCAATTTTTAATAACTACAAATTAACATTATTATTCTTTTTTTTGCAGAAAGTTTAACTATTTAACACAAATTTTAAGAGAAAAATTTATTTCAATCTGATATAAAAAATAAAGTTAATTTTCAACTTTTCTATACATATAAATTTATTAGTGCAATGACTATTTGGATAAATTCAAGTGTTTGAAATTTTAATTTATAATTTTGTTTATATAAAAGTATAGCCTATATTACTTTCTAATGTAATAACATTAATTTTTATAAATTTTTAAATTTACAAAATTAATTTTTACCATTCAAAAAAATGACTCAATATGAAATTCTAACAATGAATTTGTATACTTTTTGTTATTATTATTTTTTTTTTAAATTGGAGCAATTCAAATGAATTAACTAATTAAAACAATTAATAGAATTAGTCGACCTGAGAAACATTTTTATTTATCTTCACATAATTTCTGGATCATTTATACTTCAATATTTAACTTAATCTTAATTTCAAAATACTGTACTTGTATCTAAGTATATTTTCTAGCCTGATTAAATATTCATTAAAAAAAAAGTTAAAGATTTAAATAATCTAATGTTCTCCACAATCAAATTCTTATATAGATTTTATATTGCTTTCTAATTTATAAAAAAAAAAAATACTTATATAATAGGTATATATTTCATCCATATTTATATATAAATAATTCTTTTCAAATTGTAAGAATGGAAAGCAATTACTGAGAAAAATAAAACATGGCATTCTCACTTCAAACAAGTTTTCTTTCAATTATCTTTTATGAAAGGATGTCAAACAAAACAGGAAAAAAAAAATTTCTAGGAAAAAAAATATTATAAAAATAGGATGAGTTGTTTATGAAATTATTTCGAAATTAAACTGTAAACAGTGTAAGTAACTTTAAAAATTTTTACCTGTACATAACAAAATAATGTAATGAAAACCGGTAGAAGTTACTTTTAGGTAATTTATTATATACGATTACATATTCTATTTAACTAAAGTTAACTCCTACTTGAAAATCTTTAATTATTGATAAAAAATCATCAGGAAATTTCGAAAATAAATGAAAATTTAATTTATTCTCGTAAATTATAATGGAAAACAAGTTTTAATTATAAATATATTAAAAATTCTTCGATCTTGCTTATAATAACCATATGTCACTTTGACCTTACGATCGATCAAAGTCCGAAATTGATCAATTACTTACTTTTTCTAATTCTTTTTCTATGGCCGTTGCCCTTATAACTAGAGGTCCTCTCACTGCATATTGCATCTTCTTAATGTTAGGATTGATCGTGTCTAGAGTTAAAGTTTTCAGAGACATTTTGAAGCAGACGAACTCTGATATTCCCAATGCACTTTTCGTTAGAGGTATTGCGCGTGACCAAAACAACATGGCGGCCAAATGTTGCTAGGTAACAATACAATACACTAATACAGTTTAAATGCACAAATAGTCAATTATACGTAAAACGATAAGGGGAGGAATTGAACTATCAAAGATCTATATTAGTTACTATATTTAGAAACAAAAGAATCACTCTATTACGGCATGACATCTTATATTATGCCATCTGACGGATTTTAACATCTAAAAATAATAATTTTTATCAAATAATAAATTAAAGACGTATTAGTTTAAAAATTCATTTAAAAAAATTAATTTAGTAAAAAATTAAATAATAATAAAAATTATAAGTTAAATATAATGCCGATATTTTAATAAATATTTATATGTATCAATTGTTTATTGGATATTAATGTTTTACAAATAATAAATTTTATACTCATCGGAGTATAAATAAAATTAAAATGGAACTATGACACATGCATCGGTGTTTTTTCAACAACGAAAAATGTTATACATGTCACGCTAGGCTGGGCCCAAGTCGATTCAACTCGATTGAATTGTTGCCAGAAGTTATATAAATTTTGATAAATCGGAGCTGGCTTCATTCATTCCTTAATTGCGCAATGTTTTATTACATTTTAAATAAAAATTTAAAATAATATTATAACTTTTATAACATAAAATTATAAAAAATCGAAATAAAACTAAAAATTTTTTACACGCTCTTTTATAGCCATTTATAATATATTACAGTATTCAGATTTAAATTATTCGCGTGTGACATTGCAACTGTGCGAATTAAAATTATACGAGAACAATTTTCAAAGTTTCCTTTAATTTTTACATTATAATTGATATTTAGTTTAATTTAAATTGAAATTATTAATGAATTTTATATGAAGTACGAGAATCACGAGTTAAAATGTTTGGCTTTTCTACACAAGAAGTCCCTCTTTTTAAATCTCAAACCCATCGTGAGTTCTGCCAGGCTCATAATAAAAGAGCCGGAAAGTGAGAGACGAGGCCCTCATATTTGGTAGGCCCTACCCGCTCACGACAAATTCCTGTGGTTATCCGCCCGGATTTGATCACGGGCCCCGTAATGCGGTAGGGTGAGGCCTCTTAATAGAAAAGTAAATAGTAAAGTAATCGAAAATATACGTCTTATACCGCACATATAGATTTCGGGTATCCTTGGAATTGTCAATATACAGTACTTGTACTAATCTTATTATTACATGTAAGTTTCTATAAATCAATAAGGATTCAACATTATCCTACAAGGAAAAATAAATAAATAAATAGAAAAGAATATAAAATAATTTACGTTTACTAAATAATAAGAGAAAGTAAAGTAATCGAAAATATACGTCTTATACCGCACATATAGATTTCGGGTATCCTTGGAATTGTCAATATACAGTACTTGTACTAATCTTATTATTACATGTAAGTTTCTATAAATCAATAAGGATTCAACATTATCCTACAAGGAAAAATAAATAAATAAATAGAAAAGAATATAAAATAATTTACGTTTACTAAATAATAAGAGAAAGTGTCACGGTATATTAACATCAAACCTGATTATTATCCTTTCAAAGAATTTTTTTTAAAAAGGAAATGGCATTTAATGGAGAATTACGCTATACTAAGAACAGAAATCAATACTTGACATCATTTAATATTTTTATATAAAATCTTAAAAAATTATAACATTTTCTTATCAATAATTGGACAGTTTATTAATAAATATAAAATTATAAAATAATAATAATAATAAATAAAAAGTAAGTAATTATTTTATACACGCAATTTTTTTAAGTTTCGGTTATTTGTTATATTTTTATTTTTTAATTCTTTATGACTGTGGTCATTAAGAAGGCCTTTTACAATACCCATTGTAGGTCCACAATCGGAGAAGGACTATCAGGGTCTCAGAGGCCTAGGAATGGAGTGGGCCCTATTGCCTCTTAGCAGATTCCTTTAATTTTTTTTTCTGAGCAAATAAGAAAAATGCCTCTTTATTAATCTTTATTAATAATAAAAAACAGTCTTAAATATTTTATTTTCTGTTAGTAAAAATAACGTTAATTTTATAGGGATAGGAACCACTTTTTGCCCCAAAATTTTCTGCCAACCCTGAAAAATATCCTCATTTTTACCCTTTTGAAGACGACCTAAGGACTACACCCCGAAAATCCCTCGGGTTTTTTAACTGTAGGGTTCGTTTCCGGATTTCGTTTAGTATAGAGGAAATTACTTAATTAAATCGCTTGGCCATCCGGCCATGCTAAAATTAATTTAAAAGTTTGTATTTTTATTTATAAATTATATTGTATAATATATATTTATATCCAATAAAATTCCTTAAATTCATCTTCAACATATAAAACTAGACTTAAAAGAAAAAATGGTTACTATACGTCCTCTTTTATCCGGACACGTTCTCTTTTTCCACGTAAAATTTTTAGCATGGTAAATAATTGTATTATTTAAGATTATATATTTATATTATATTACTTTTTATCAACAGGTATTTTATTTCTTTGTTTAATTAAATAGAATAAATATTATAAATTAACTAAAACGTTTAAAAAGTCATATTCGAAATATTTAAATTATTTATTTGTATATTTATAATCCTCAAGAACCTTCTAGCTATGAAACTAAAAATACTATAAGATCATGTACACTCTCAAAAAATTTTTAAAAATAATTTAGTGACATTATAGCCTTTGCCAAAGCACTCCTCTAGGAAATTGGCAAGTACAGTACAATAATATTGAAGCTGATTTGTAAACACTAACTCATTAAAAAACTGAAATAATAGAATTTATCAGTATATTAACATATTCAATATTAAAATATAATATAAATATAATGAAAATTAAAATTTGCTAAAATGTGGAAGAAAGGAAAACAAGGAGATCAATTTGAATTTTCCTCACCTTTGGTTAAAATGATTATTGATCAAAGGGAATGTTTTCACACGGTTATGAAAAGCATTGTAGCTTTATATACTAATTAATGGAGCTTTATTTTCTCTAATTAAAATATAGTGTAGTGGTAACATCCGGGATGTTTTAATACCGGCCACGAATTTCGAATTAGGAAACGACAAATATCTGAGTAAAAGTCACCCACCGGTGGACTAATGAATAAAATCACAGTTGGTCGTGGTTTAGCGTGGAGTTTTCCGAGTTTTCTTCACCTTTTTAACACCTAAACAGGGACCAGTTTCATTTAGAAAGTCCTTCTTCTTCGGCAGGTTTCCAAGTGTCGAGTTGCCACATACAAATAAACTAAATCAAAGCAGTAAAAGGTGTCAGTGTCACTATGGAGAACTCGGACTGAAATATTAGTAGATGCTCTAGTCTGATTGTTCTTTAAAATTTGGCCATCATTATTGTGAGCCAAGCCCAATCTATAATGGACACGAGAAGCACCCTCTTAATTAATAACCGTAGAAAGAATAGAGGTTTTAAAAAAATGTTACCGCAAAGGACATTAAGAATTCATTTTGGACTTGGAGCTCAGAATGAAATGGGGATTCTTCATATTTTGAATTTTATAATAGAATTGTAAGTGATCAGAATTCTTCCAATCTCTGAGAATAAATGGCAAAGGAATTTCAATTCTAATAATATATGTCTGTAGGCAGTGGAGTCGCTGAGTAGTTAGTTTTGGAGCGATGTACGACAAAAATAGCCGACTCAGTAAATAAAATTCCCAATTAATATTTGTACACGTTAACCGCTTGATCTTAATTAATAAGAGACGAAATAATCGCGACTTCGAATTATCCGAGATTTACATATTTCTGTACAAAATGCTAAATATCTCGTAACTGATGGAATTTATTAAGCAAAAGGAACATATCTACGTATACAGAACGCTATTTTAGTTAGTTAATAATTAATAAACTGCAGGTTGCCAGATAGGTTTTATAAAAAGTAAAGCAGAATTCCTCGAAACGTAGACCAAATTATTTTTAAAGTGACGCAAACGTAATTAGTGGCCCATTGTAGCAGCCTAGCGCCCTACAAATATCTCTTTTTGCTTCTCGTAGCCCAATCTTGCAATTCCGAACACAATTGTATTTTATGAGAGAGAAAAAAAACGGTAGTCCATGGGTATGTAGTCTCTTATGATAAACTCTAAGTAATTTTCCTCTGCTCAGCCAAGTGGCATTACAGAGTACAAAGAGACTATGTCTTAATCATACGCTTGGTCTGATACCCAGCAGCTACTGGGTCTTTTGGACTCTTTTAAGTCGAACTTGAGGTAAATGCTCGGGCTCTGACTCTGACTCCAGAGTAACCCAAGAGGTGACCACCAACCTTCATCGCCTTTCTCGCTTTCAAGTCCAACCCTCTTACATGGACATACGTTTTTAGTGCAGCCTGTTCTGCACATAGAGTTGTCTACCAAAGAGAGACCAACTCTTAGTAAAGGTCAGCGGGGTCCCCTCCCCTAGAAAAGGGGGCCCTGCCAAGTGCGTCCACTGAGCTTATAGGTCAAAGAGACCTATTACTTTTTTCAACAATTCCTTTAGTTTCTTTAAGTTTTCTTTACTAGCTTTCTTTACGTTCGAAGTACTTGTTCGGAAGGCTTAAACCAGTCGACTTGGTCAGCCCCTCTGCGGAAGTCCTCAGTAAGAGGATTGTCAAGTACATAGTGCTTCGCGTCGCTACGAGGACACTCACAGGAGCAGCTACCATCTCCTTGTCCGAACTTGGATTTGAAGTGGGGAAACCTCCCGTGTCCGGTCAGTATTTGCATCGTTAGCCAATTACAACAGACTGGAGTACGGCCAACTTCAGACACGAAGGCATAGGTTGACCTATCTACTGTACTTTGAGTCCAGCGCTCTTGCCAGTATGTCATTGATCGTTGCATTAGAGTACCACCCAACGAGAATGGTCGAACCCTCGACCATCCTCGTTAGGTTTATACTTGAAGAGAATTATAGTTCAATATAAAAATCTGCAAGGAAAATGTATCTATCACATTGTCTCAGAATTACAACTCTAGTTCATTTCGTTTCAGAGAAATTTAGATGGATTTAAGACAACACAACACTTGAGCCATCTGCCAAATAAGAGTACCACCTGGGAAGGCTTTCTATGGACAAACCGCTTCTTCTATTCATACTTGTGAAGGAAGCTCGGAAAACTCCACGTTTCCAGGTCGATGACAAGGCGTCAACCCGCGATCAACTAGCAGCGTAATTTATGAAAAGGCTCATTAATGGACGAGTACGCACTCGTCCATTAATGGTCCTTTTGATAAATTAATAGGGATATTAAGGAAATAAATGAGAGTTTAAGTGATTAAATAGTAGGAAATTTTCTTCAATAAGTGCTCCGAATTTTCATTAACACATAGTGCTTTAAAGATTACACACAAAACTTTTTAACAAAGTTTTGTGTGTAATCTTTAAAGCTATTATTTCGAAATATTTTATTTATTTAAGTTAATTTTTTTGCTAGAACTGTGGGTCTTTATGTGGTATATTTTGCATATTGTTATTTCCTTATAACAGAAAGTATTTCCTAGAAAAGAGCGCTACTTTCCACTTGTAAAAGTTATAACTATTATAGAAAAATCTTATGAGTATTGCATTGTATAGAGTAATAAAAAGTAAATTATCCACAAAAGTTTAAATCAATAGTTAACATTCAATTTTTAAATATAAATTTGGTCAAAAGTTTAATAAGGGATATCTTTTTACTAAAGAAAAAAAAGCCAAATATAAGTAACATAAGATTTTGTATTGATGGAATGCAATTTCATTTGAAAAGGAATCAATAACTGGGAAAATTTTGAATAATTTATTCACAATATATCTGCATTTTTGATTTACAGTATGGTCTTGTTTTATGTTAGAGTTGCTTATTAGCAGATGGTAAATCTACTCCATTCCAAAAAGTCCCAGGTAATTTCCTAGGTATACAATCATTTACAATTAATAGAAAAATATTAAAATGTGTTTAAAATGTTTTACTTTTTACTATAATGAATTACAATTTAGCCCATTTCTTAATGTACAGATCAAAATTTTATAATACCATAATCAGTACATACTTGAGAAAAATACATGCAAGCCACCATACTTAATTACAGTGAGTAGCTTCCGAAGGAGAACAGAAGCCGAAGAAGCAGGATTTGCCGAATTTGGTGTCAGATTCATCGACAGCATTATATTCATTAATAATCAGAATCATCTCTGTGCATCTAACCTTAATCTAACTACTTCCTCTATGTGAAAAGACCTTACCGTGCTTATTTTCCTAATGATTGTGAAATTATAGAAACTTTAGCAACTAAACACATCATATTTTAGATATCAATCAACCAATAAATAACATGTGCCAATAGTGTCAAAATAAGTGTATTTATATTCTCAAAATTCTAAATGGTAAATTCAAAAGTGGATAATTTAAACTGTAGTTGCAGTGTATTAAAGGAATCTTTCAATGTTTACTCTATTCTCCTCATTGTTTTATGGCCTTTTTATTATTCTGACAAGAACAAAAACAATGTAAATTTTGTTAGGATTTCTTATCTATGTGTATATTTGTGCATGTTTATATATATATACATTCAGACAGACTAGATTCTGTAGGAAACACTGAAGTGACTTTAAAAATACTTTTATTTTCACAGGATAAAAACTTTCTAAAATAAAAAGAAAAAAAAAAATATTTTACAATATTTATATGTATTGTAGTATATACATTATTATAGTGCATATAAAACATATTATTTAACATAATTTTTATAAAAATATAACAAATACAATATTTAAATTTTGGATTTATAAAATTTCTATTTTTAATAAATTAATCAATAGCATAACTACTGCAAAATGCTATCAAATATTTATTGAAAAGACTTGATTGTTCAGAAAACTGAAAACTGTACTTATAAAAAACATATGGAAATAATATAATTCTGTGTTAAGAGAAAAAGTTTGTTTCTTTTTTTGTATGTAGGCCTAAGATTGTAGTTATGCTATTAATTACATTATTTTTTAGGTAATTATTACGATTATATTTTTCATTATTTTTAATTCGAAATAATAAAGTAAAAGAAAACCAATTCAAGTAGTAATAGTGCTAAAATATATAGAATAATATGATAAAATAAGTAATTAACAGATGCATAAATTAATGAAATAACTGAACTATAAAATAGAATTTCTAATGTTCTGTAATGATCGACACTTGATGCAAATCCCTGAAGGAGGCCAAAAATGTTCAATTTGTATTTAATTCACATACACATTATTTGCTGGAAGTATGTGTGTAAGGTATGTAGTTTTAATAACTGAGCTACTTAAAGAGAAGTTATAAATGCAAAAAAGTAATAATAGATGTTTGTTTACTATATAGATAAATGCATTATCTAAATAAAAATAACTTCAAATCAATCTAACTTTACAGGTACCAAATGTAAAGTGACAACACAGCAAAGAAAAATTTTATTTAGACTATACATATCCTTTGATTAACGTGATTAATTAATCCCTCAATGCTACCACATATATGAAAACCACATCAATTATAGTATGTTGTTAAGTAAAGACAGTTGATAAAACTCATTAAATAAAAATTTTGCCACGTACATAAAGGGACTGCCTCAATTAATTTCATGCATTAATCAAATCCCGCATTAAGCAAGGGATACCTGTATACATTTGTAAACATTAATTTCTGTGTAGTTATTACTTTTTATTCTTGAAAATAAATTTTGAATTTAAATTTCATTTTTCCTCAAGAAATTAATTTATGATAAAATTTTATATGTTAAGAAAAATCTTAAGATTTACAACATAAAGCAAGAAAAAATGTATACAAAATGTTATAAAGATTTAAAAGAAAATTCTTAAAAGACAAACAATAAACTGATTAATATGTTTCATTCTAACGTTATATGTTTTTGATGACGTGAAAATTGAAAGGCACATACGTGAAAGATAAATTAATTTAATACACAGAATAAATAGAATATATATGAATATCAGAACTGATACTACAACAATATCATAAGACTGCAAAAATAACAATTTAGATTGACTAAAAATAAAATAATATAAGAAAATAGCTAACTAAAGAAATGCCATTAATTTAAAACATATTTATCATCAAGAATATTTTTTGTACATAATAAAATTTAAAATATTTACTGAAGTTAAATCAATAATAGCAATTAACAAACTGAAAATAATGATAATAATTATCAAATTTAAAATGAAAATTATCCGAAACAAATGTTTGAGCATTACATCACAATGTTAATGAGTTTAACTATACCAGTCGACCCCCCCTATAACACTGTTGATAATTCTGTTTTATATGAATTCCGTGTTATACGAGTCACTTAGATTTTACAAATACGTGAGACGTTCAAAGCCCGGCACACGTATTTGTAAAATCTAAGCGAGTCGTACAACACGGAATTCATATAAAACGGAATTATCAACAGTGTTATAGGGGGTCAACTGTACACAAGTGAATTAGCATCAAATATCAACAAAAAATTCTTTAAACTAAAATATTAGAAAGTTCTCTAATGTACAGAATAAACACAAATATTTGAATTTCCTCATTGCTGACAGCCAGCAAACTAATTATAATATATGACATTTAAATACAGAGAATGATATATTTTACGTTACCACTGTCAAATACTGTATATTCACAATCTGACGACACAAAAATGTTTAATATTAATTTTCAACAAAATTAACTTGTATTTTAGCAATAATCATATATTTATATTAACACACTGATATAAAAATAAAATATATTAATTAAAAGTAATATGTAGAGAATAAGAAAAGATATCTTAATGCAATTATTTACTGTGAAACAAATCACAGATTTATTTATAAACAAGAGAAATGTGATATGGAATATTATTTCACAATATTTATTAAAATAAATAATTTTGTAAACACATATATAGAATTCTTCAGTTAATTAAATTTTTAAATATACTGTTGCATAAAGGTATTTATATAGCTCTTTTCATTATTAGGACAGAATAATACAATGAAATTAAATTGCATAAAAATGGAAAGAAGTTCTGATTAATGTAAATGAGGTTAACTAAATTATAATAAAAATATGTAGTGGAATTGTTTAAATAAAATTTTATATTTTAAAATAAGATATTCATTTTTGGAGAATATTTTTGTTATCAAACAAATAATTGTTACTTATTATGTTTTAATAATACATTATTTCGAATTTAAAATATTAAAGAAATGACTGAATAACTGGTTGCTTATATGGATATTTTGAAGATGGAACGTGACCACAAGTGGGAGTCGAATTATTTTGGATGAAACATGTTATTCCATTAATTTCTAAACGATTTAAATTACGAGATTTACTTCTTAATTCATCGATAGTAAATGAATATTCTGGATTTGCAAAATCACCTTCGAGAGGCGGGTTCTCGGGATAAAGATCATCTCCTGAAATTAAGAGTAAAAATAATATAAATGTTTTTTAGTATAACAGATTGCAAGTAACAATTTAATCATAATTTGTAATTGTACAGTAATTACTAATACAGTTTTTATACACCAATTTGGATTTAATTGTTCAAGATCAATATATGAAGTTTTCTATCAGATATTATACTGTATATTAATAATAAAATTATTAAAATCAGTTGTATTTTATGTTATTATTTTAAAAATATAAGTTTATACAATGCTTAAATAATAAATTGTAATAAATTGAATTTTACTCTAAAGAGTAATATAGAGTTATTCTTGTAACTTTATAAGTCCGAACATTTCTTCATTAATACCATTAATTCTAATCTATCATCTCAATAAAAACTAGTAACAAATTCTTTTGTTCTATTTACAATTTTATAATTTCTCAATTGAATTTGAGAAAATTAAAGAAAATTCTATTAATAGAATGAAAATTTTATGAAAGTAATTTCAAAATAAAAATTTGACAGTAAGATTTATTATATTACTACTATACAAAACTTATTTACCAGGAAGAACTGAAATTGCACCATCCGTAGAAGAAGCAACAACTGGCAACCAACGTTCTATTCCTCTGCATTCTCTTTTTTTCGAAAACTGATCCAATTCCTTTATTTTTTTAAAATTCAAAAGCCTTGATAATTCATAAATTTGAGGTGGTGCTAAGAAAACTGATCCATTTCTATTTTCTTCTAAAATTTCTTCAGGTGTACACCACTAAATATAGAAGAAAATTTTCTGAGACTTAAAATTAATAGTAAAAAAAATTTATTCTGTAAGTATATGATAATTGATTTTACAAGAAAAATATTTTTGTAATTTTTTAAAGAACAGTATACAGTTAAGTGCTTCTTATTGTAATTGCAAATATTATCATCAGTTGTTTGATATCAAAACAAACATGCCCTAAAATAATATAAATCAAATAACAATACAAAACTTTATTGTAATCAGAAATTTGCTTATAGAGAAATTGCATTAAAAAACTTACAAACAGAAGTCTAATATTCAATCATCAAACTTCAAACTTTTCACTACAGTTAATAATTAAATATGAACTATTCTGTTATTATGCCTGACATTAACCGATCTATAATCATTCTTTATTCACTGAAAATTATTCATATGATAAAAACTCTTAGTTTCTGTGGGATGATTGCCATTAATTTTAATATAATTTTCCTAAAATCTTCAGCAATTTGTCCTTTTTGTTCTTCAAAGACATGTTAATTTGGCTTTGTCTTTTTAGTAGTCTTCTCTCAAGTATTTGATAATTCAAATTTCAACCTGTATCAACTTTAAAGATGGAGAGACGATTGAGCAGGTGTGGAGATATCTATTCGAGGAATTCAAACGGGGACAAGTGGAGGGGTAAATGTGATATGCGCAATATTTACATCTCAGACAACATCGTTCTAACGGTCAAGGGGAGACAACACTTAGTCAGTGCTTGAAGAAGACCTCGGTGGAGGTCGAAAACGTTAGTGGATATTGTAACGAACACAACACTGATAAAGGTTTTTTGTGGACAGTTATAATTCAAATTTATCTCAAAAACTATCAATGTGAATAAAACCTATGCTCCAGGCAGTTAGATTTGTATTGGATGTTCTTCATAATATAGAAAATTCATTGTATCTACTCTTCAAAATAAATAATAATTATTATTATTGCTTTACAGCTTTTAAACATAATGCTTATTAAAAAAAAAAGCAATTTAAGTAGGTCTATTGTGATTGTATATCAATAACTATAAACAATTAAACTACTTATTCAGGAAAAAAAATATTTTTCTATTTCTAACTCTTGGAGGTAGTACAATATGAGCAGTATGACATTATTCTATTAATAAAAGTGCCATTAAAACATTCCAAATATGCTATCACAATACCATTATCTAGAATATCTGGATAGATTACAAATATTAAAGTCTGTTAATGGATTCTTCTTATAATTTTTATCTTGGACAATAAGCTGCTTAAGGCACACCTTGATATTCATAAGGCATTGAAAATAATTCACATTCCTGAATGATCAGAATGTCAATCAAACTTGAAAACCAATATTGTTATTCTATGCTTTTATACATTCTTCTTCCAATGAAAAATTAGAAAGGAAATTTTTATAAATAAATTTATACAGATCTTGGGAGATTTTATGGACAGTTTTGTACAGTTTAAGTGAAAGAGAAACACCATAAATGTTTAATTAATCAATGTTTATAAAGCTAACTTTATTTGTTTGGTTACAAAATGAGTAACCAAATAAAGTTAGCTTTTCAATAACTGATAATATAATATGATGATTTAATGTATTAGCTTATAATATAATCTTTGTACATTTGTAGCTCTGTACAATCACTTTTTATTTACAATTATAAAAAAATATAAAAAAAAAGTAAAAACAAGTTTGTTTGTGAAAATTTGATTAACATTNACATGCATTTCTATGTCAACCAAATTTGAATTCAAATAAATGTTTAATCAATGTTTATAAAGCTAACTTTATTTGTTTGATTACAAAATGAGTAACCATTCAATAAAGTTAGCTTTTCAATAATTGATAATATAATATGATGATTTAATGTATTAGCTTATAATATAATCTTTGTACATTTGTAGCTCTGTACAATCACTTTTTATTTGTGAAACATGCATTTCTATGTCAACCAAATTTGAATTCAAATTTTTCTTAGAATAATCCATAAAATTTTAGCTTTATATTGATTAGTTAACTGATTAGCTGCTATGTTTATAGTAATTTTTGATTTTCAATTCATTTATATTCAATAAAATAAATTGTTCCCATGTTAAGATCCAGTAAAAATTGACAAGTTTCATTACTGACTTATTACAGCTAGTAAATAAAATGGCTGGAGTGTTGGTTTGCTCCTGTAATTCAGTTACTTACAGGTTGGGACTAGTGGATGGCTTGAGGTGGGAAGTACACCCGAATGTTGTACTATGTCGATCAGATGTCTGCACTAAGGACGATGTCAATATGATGACCAAACGGTACCTAGGGCCACCATGTTGCCTAAGGAGGAGTGAACTGGCCCAGGGGAGAAATGCAGCAGGCAAAAGCTCCCATATTGTATAGTAGTGGAACAAAAAAATATAAAAAAAAAGTAAAAACAAGTTTGTTTGTGAAAATTTGATTAACATTGATTTTATAGCACATCAAATGAAAATCTGACCAGCTATTGACAGAATTTTGAACATGTAATGACTTTGATCTGTTGAGCGTTTGATTGTGTAAGGATTTTCACATGTCAAAATACTGATCGAATTCCAGATAATATATTGTCATCTGACTTATATAAAATAGACTATATATACTGTAAAAAAATGGAAATAATTTAAATACATTTTTTATAATACTTTTTCAATATTAAAAATTTGATTATTGTAAGAATATATGTGTTGTAATTATCACTCCAAAATATTTACTATTTCATATTTGCATTTACAGTGGTACCTCAGGATACGAAATTAATCCATTCTGAAACTGAGATCGTATAATGAAAATGTCGTAAGGTGAATCATTTTTCCCCATATGATTACATGTAAAACCAAATAATTCGTTCCAACACGAAAAACACACTCAAATTAAAGCTAAGTAAGACATTAAAAAAAAACTATAGTAAGGAAAACACTGAAAAATGCATTTTGTAGTTGTAAATGTATAAATAACCATAATAGAATAATAATTGATAAAAAAAATTGTAGTTTTATTTGCACTTTACCTTTGAGGATAGACGACGGTGGAGGTGTAAACTGGTGGCGGAAGAGAGGGAGAAGGGAAATGATACTAAAACTTAACTTACATAACATAATGTAACAATAACTTAAAAATAACTTAACACTAATTTTTTAACTTTTCTGTTTTATCTATTTTTTAAATTTTTTATTCACTGCTTTTTGCTTTCTTTCCTTCACTTACACCAGCACTTTCACTAGATAGAGGTCGCTTGGTAAAATATCTATCCAAAGAGGTTCGGCTTTGCCTACTTTTTAAAATGTTTCTAGAATGACTTAGGCAAATGTCATTACTCCGAGCAGCAATACGGCCAGTGTGAACCTTATTGGGGTGTTTCTTTTCAATAAAATCAGTCACTTTCTGATAATATCTCAAGATTTCCTTTATCGAGCGAGATCCTTCCAAGACGAAGCAAACACGCGGACTGAGACCGATGAACAGAAGTGAATAAAAAATGGCGCTGCAAACTAATCTAACGTCATATGGTGAGTTTTTGTTCGTATCATGGAGCAAAAATATGTTAGAATTTCATGTCGTATCCTGAAAATTTCGTGTGCTGGGGCGTTTGTATCCTGAGGTACCACTGTATAACTGTTGATAATCTTTACACAGTTTGCAAAATAAAAACAAAGTACTAGAAATAATTTCTATTTCATTTTGAAACTAATCTAGTGTAACTTTTTAGATTAGTCCCCCCTAATCTGTGATTATAATTAATTTTTATGTCAGCAATAAATTATAATTAACATAAAACATATTTTATCTAGTAAGTTTAAAAGCTATAAACTACTTTTAGAGACAGGATCATCAAGAGGGAAGCTAGAATGTTTACCCAGGCCTAAAGAAAATTTAAGGGCTTATAGTAATTCCAACTCTTATAAAGTTAATGTTATTTTTACTAAGAGAAAATAAAATCTTTAAGATTACTTTTAATTAATGAAGAAACATTCTACATACTGTATTTCATTTTTTCAAAAAAACAAAAGACTAAAGGGTCCTGCTAAGAGGCAAAATGAGCTATTTTATACAAGCTCTCAATGGTTAATTTAGGTAATCTGTTTTCTATTAATGTTATGAAATGAATTTTTGCTAATGCTATTATAAATGTAGAATTATTATTGTCAGATAATTATAAAATATATAATTATTATTCATTTAAATTTACAAGAAACAATATAATCCAATAAATAAATGCATATTGAATATTATAATGTTAAAATATATTTTCATCTTAAAATATTTACCTTTATTTCTGTAACTTCAGACTGATCCGCCCAAGCTGCTGGTATTTTAGAAAGGCAGCAAACGTAGAATATAGTATCATATCGACGATGTCCAACATTCGGAGTTAACCAATTCCACCATTCCTGTAAACACCAAATATTTGGACAAACTTTATTTTCCAAGCAAAGATCTATAAAGAAACTTGCATTATTATGGACTTTATCTCTCCACATTTTTAAGTCTAAGTCTTTTGCGGTATACACAGACGGTTCCTTATTTTCATCTCCAGACGAAGTTAAAAGCAAAATTCCGGTTTCTTCAAACGTCTCTCGAATGGCAGCTATACGCATCGTTAAATCAACAGGAAAATGATCATTTTTTGAAATATTAGCTTTACTAAGCGTAACCGAATTCTCAAACATAGGAGGTCTCGGTCCCGTTATGGAAGAGGAAACTTGCATAAGTTTTTCATTACTAATACCGGCATTATTAAACACAGTCCACCATTTTGTCGAAAAATCAGATAACTCTACCATTCCACCCGGAAACACATACGCATTTGCCATAAAAGAACTGAGTCCGCTTCTCTTTAGCATCAGTAAACGATAATCAAATTTTGATGGATTAAAGTTCCTGGTATGCGCCATCAACATATTATTCAAATCTTTGCCCATCGTTTCCTGCAGAGATGGTTTGGCAGCAAAAATAACACTCGAAGCCTCTCTCCAAGAGTACGAAGTCATTGTTGCTAGAAAAAAAAAAATTATTATTATTATTAGGACAGTAATACAAGTAATATAAGAATTAATTAAACATTTCATATGCTGTAATTATCATTGCTGTGTTTAATTAATAACAATAAACTAAACAATTGATTAATTTTATAAAAAGATATAGATAATCTATAACCTGATATTGATTTGATATTGTTTGCAAATAAATGTGTACTTTTCAATGTCAATTACCAATCATAGATTAGAAAATACCTACACACGAACACGTTTTCCATCTTGAACGTATTAATTCGTTTGTTAAATAACATAGATATATTTTCATGGGCCGATCGAATGTATTTTGTAAACAGCATACTACTAATTAATGAAATTTTATCAATTATAATAAACAAAAATCATCATTAAAACGTAATAAGAGAGAAATTATATTTGCAACATGTGTCCAATTCTAAGCAACACAGCTGATGTCACTGTTGCCACTTTTATCATATTCTTATATATATATATATATATTTAATATAAATATTTTCATACTTCATTANACCACATGCATAAATTTTAAGGAGGAGATGCTTTTGTCGATGGCCTGGCAAGAGTTGATACATAGCACGCTTTAACCGCTCGTTATAACTGAGAAGGCGGACATGTCACGCATGCGCATCGGATAATTTTAAAGCATTGTTCGAACTCAAGAACAAACTTATTTGAACATCGTTCGTTAATGGCTTTCGTTAACGGCATTCGTTAAATTCAAAGGCATGCGCGACGTAGAATTTTAAAAGAACTATTCGATCGCAAGAACGAAATTATTTGAACAACATTCATCAATCGAATTTTACGAGCTAAAACCTGATGAAGAGCCCAGAAGGGGTTCGAAAACGTTTGTTTTTTTTTTTTTTTTTTTATGATTAGTCGATCGTTCCACACCGTAAATTGGTTCAGTGTTTGTGTTTGATATATAGGTGTGGTGAGTAGTGAGTTTTTTGTTTATTATTATTATATTTTT